AAATCAAATGTCAATTTTAAATAACATATGTAATACACGTCATAGTTTTACATGACATGATTAAATATCGAGGTTAAAAAACACACAGAAATGGGATCAATTTGGATCAGTCATTATACCATCCAGGCATTATTACTTGAAAAAGCCCACACTGCTTTGATACTTTATTGCAATCAGACAAGAGCTACCAGGGATATTTTCAAATAACTGCATCTGATGGGCATCCACCCTTCTTAATGTCGCACTGTTTAGGTTGAAGAAATTAACCGTAACCGTGATGAGCAAGGCTGATCATAGTTTTCGCTATCACTAGCGTCTGGCTCAAACAAATAAGGCCTAGCGACACCAAGCAATTTTGACAGAATCGTCTATGAAAACAAGTTGTAACTTGGAAACTAGGCAAAGCAGGAGACAAAACTAAATGACAGTAGATTGTGAGAACATACAGCTTTCATTTTTCACAACAATTGTCAAGATTTCAGGTTTGTACAAACCTGTAAACAAGATAATTTACCCCCTGAAATGTACATGAATTCTGCATCGGCCCGCATATCTATTCCTCATATTACGTCACAGAGATGCGCCGCTCTGATTGGTTGAAATTTCGTTCGCGGGTGAGAATTGTGCACTGTTGTCAAAAAGGTCGATTTAAGTTAATTAAAGATCGAAATGAGTAGTTTTAATGGCAGGGTTTCATTTATAACGATGCCAATTAGTGATTTGTGTATTTGTACCCCCCTAGAGTATATGTGATCTTTAAGAATCACATTTTGGCGATTATGAGTGGGAAGTGACTGGTCCTGAGCAGCAAAAAGGAAGGCCTCAGTTTCATATTTGAGACCAGCCAACTTCATCCAGGCGAAGGAGTCGGTGGGATTGCTATTCTGTTCAACACACTGCATGTACACACGATGCAATGGCTTCTCAGAAAGCTTCTCCACAAAATACCGACTCTGGGAAGACTTGGTGAAGGACTTCACGTGGTTTACTCCCATCGCTTTACCGTCCAGCAGTACATCGCCATCGGCAAAATCAACCTCAAATTTCAGATTCTGTCCAACAACTTTGGCACGCTTAAAATAGCTGTGGAATTCCTTGCTTTCATCATGAGTCTTCACATGCATTACCAGAGGATCATCCAGTAAATAAATATGTGCAAAAGAACACAAAAGAATTCTATCATGAAGAGCCTCCACATTAATCAAACCCTGACCTCCAGAATTAATTGGCATATATAAACGGTTGAGAGAGGAATGAGGGTGGTGGGCTCTGTTATCAGACATGATCCTTCTGGTCAGGCGGCTAAGACTCTGGATGTCTTGTTTTGTCCAATCAACTACTCCAAAGGAATAGGAGAGGACTGGCACAGCAAAAGTATTGGTGGCCTTGACCTTCTTTCGAGCATTTAGCTCTGAGCTCCAGATTTTCTTTAAGCGAGATTTGTACTCGGACTGAAGTTTGTCTTGAATTTGGGCATTCTGGAGCTTGTCTCGAACTTGACTTTCCAAGATAGGTGTAGGCCTGATCTTCCACAAGATGCTCAATAACTCCTCCCCCCTGTAACTTGACAGATCCACCATTAACTACCTTGCCACATTTCAAATGAAGAGTATTACATTTGTTGAGTCCAAATGTCATGCCAATATCATTAGAAAAGGACTCGACAAGGAGAACCTGTTCTTTCAAATTGGTATCTCCTTTGGCAAGGAGCTCGATGTCATCCATGTAAAGAAGATGAGTAAGGGGTATTGGGGATCTGTGCTGAGGAGGTCCTGGATGGTAACCCTCCTCTCTGTTGAGCGGAAAGTTCAAAAGAATTAGAGACAAACAGAAAAGCAAAGGACTGAAGGAGTCCCCCTGGAAAATTCCCCTCCTGATTGGAATAGATTCCGAAGTCTGCACCTGCCCTTGCAAGTACATCTCAAGTTGAGTTGACCAGCAACTCATTAAAGACTTGAGTAAATCAAGTAGTCGCTCTGGGAGGTCAATACAATGAAGAGACTTCAGAATCCATTCATGAGGGACAGTGTCGTATGCTTTTTTTGTAGTCAATCCAGCATATAGAGAGGTTGCAGTGATATGTTTTAGCCTCTTCCAAAATCATTTTCTGTACAAGAAGTTGATCCTTGCACCCCCAGCATCCCTTTCTTGCTCCCTTCTGCTCTCTACAAATTATATCATTAGCAGAGCAGTATGATGACACGAGGTTTGTCAAACACCCTGTGAATAATTTGTATTGTGTATTCAAACATGTGATAGGGCGGAAGTTTTTGGGATCAGTCAAGTCTCCTTTCTTGGGGAGGAGTATTGTACGACCTTTGCAGAACCACGGAGGAACATCACCAGTGTCCACGAGAGTATTGAAGCAGTGAAGTAATGGTGTTTGGACACAGGGGAACAGTTTCCAGTACCGGGTTTCGAATGCCATCACCATCACCGTATGTTTTAAGTTGCCTGTAGAAGTGTTTTTCATTATTTCTAAAAAGTTTATTCTGATTGATGAATTTATTTTTCTTTTCCCATTTTTGCTTTCTTGCAGTCCAAACCTTTTTTTTAGCCTTAAGGGAATCCACAATTTGGAGAAGTGTTTTTTCTTTTGTTGTCTTAAACTGTAATTTTAATTTTCTCCAAATTGACTTATGACGTTTGGACATGGGACTCCGTGATGATCTTAACTTCAGGCAAAGTTCTATCCAAGAAATGTAGTTTCTAGTTTCTGTTAATTTTACTTGAAACTGTTTTTTCTTTGGTGTATTGTTCTTAGGACTGGATGTGTTTTCTTTGGAAACTGTGAAGTTCCTCCAAGGTTCGAGCGGCAGCATAGACACAACAATTCACTTCATGTAATGAACAGTCTGCCGAAAGTTTCATAGAAATAATATCATTTAATAAATTAATTTCATTTTTGGGAAAGATTCAGTTGTTTGTTTAATTGGCCTCCCGTTCTTCTAAAGGTATGTCAGATATTTCATCATAAATAGAATGAAACAAAATATACACAGGATTTTCGGAAAGATCTGCAACAGACCACAACTGTTTCCAGAACCTTTCATTGGCATCCATGGGAGACCGCTTATCATGCTCACCATCACCGTTTGTTTTAAGTTGCCTGTAGAAGTGTTTTTCATTATTTCCAAAAAGTTTATTCTGTTTGATGAATTTATTTTTCTTTTCCCGTTTTTGCTTTCTTTAAGTCCAAACATATATTTTGGCCTAAAGGGAATCGACAATTTGGAGAAGTATTTTTTTCTTTTGTTGTCTTAAACTGTAATTTTAATTTTCTCCAAATTGACTTATGTCGTTTGGACATGGGACTCCCTGATGATCTTAACTTCAGGCAAAGCTCTATCCAGGAAATGTATTTTCTAGTTTCTTTTAATTTTACTTGCTCTAGGGGCATGAGATTTTTAAGGCACCGGAATTGATCTCAGACATTTTGCTCCGTCAGGAAAGCATACATGGGCATGGCATTGTCCCAATGCAGCTTTAGCGACTTGCCGTTTATGCGTGGATTATCAGGCCATCCTGTCGCTTTCGCACACTCTAGTAGTATTGTTTTGAGATGGTTTGACCAAGATAGTCTTGATCGGGTGCTGTGCCTTCCCCTGGGGCAAGTCCCATCTCCAGTGTGGTTGGTTTGACTACCTGAGGAAGGCTGACTGGGCTGCGGAGTTGAAAGATGGTTTGCTCCTTGTTTGTCTGTAACCCAGTAAGAAAACCAGCTTCGGTGGGGTCAGACCTAACTGGGTGATGTACGTTCAGTCTCCAAGACGAGGGTGGCTGTGTGTGGACGGGGGTCGCATGGTCATTTCCGCTCAGAGGGGGTGGGTGTGCGCAGAGCGTGAGATGGGGTAATATATACAATTTATAGTTAAAATTTTCAATTTTTAATTTTCTTGCAAGGGATCAGTCAACAGACTCTTCTAAAATAATAGATTATTGACAACTACAGACAATATTTATTCATGTATAAGTGGATGTCTGTGTGTGTGTTTGTAATGCCTTAAAAAAAGTCCTGATCAATACAGTGTGGCGTATTTGCCCTTGCACAGAGGTCTAATTTGTAAATGTCACTCCCATGGTCCCCACAAACAAAGATGCCAACCCTCCCGAATTTATCGGAATCATCCCGAAAGATACATGTCGATTCCGCCATTCCGACAAAGCCAAATTCATTCTGATTTTTTAGAAATATAACAAAGATATAGATAGTCTTTCTTACTGGAGGGCTAGGATCATCTTTGACTATAAATAATGATAATTAAACAGTGTATGAAATAATCCAAAAGTCCAGCCAGACATCAGGGCCGGTAACTTAAAAATGGTACCAGCCCAAAATGGATTTAACCAGACAAAATATGGTGATTTTACTCAGATGTATTGAACATCTAAAAACATTTACTGCACCATCGGACTGGCAAGCTGTAAATTTAGACCGTCCATCAGAAATCTAGACCGTCTCAGTCGGTCGGACGGACGGACCTTATTTCATACACTGAATTAATAAATATAACACTTTATTTACAGAAGTTCTCAAATTGTTTACACAAGAAAGTAATCTGGAAGTTCACTTAACATTCACAAAAACTGCAACCAATTACTGCAAACTGTTTCAGTTGTCGAAAGATCGCTATGTGTATTGGCTTTGAAAGTTTCGTTCCTTGAGTGCAACAATTTATAGGGATCCCTAATTGGGAAAATTCCTAATTTTTTCTATCTTAGGGAGCTCAGATTCCTAATTGCACCAATTTGGGGTTGGCATCTCTACACGAATATAAACTTAATGCACTTACTTTTGGAGTGTAAATTGTTTCGGTGACACTTTCCCCGACTGACAAAAGCCTTCACAACATGATGTATCCCTTCAAGCTGATGAATTGTGTAATGTTTTTGTGTCACCTGTTTTGATGATGTTCCCTTATGTTTTGCACAAGGCCACACAATACCATAGTGATCCTCTCATATGCTCCCTTATGAAAACTGTTTTCTCTTCATTTCAGCTGAATTTGAACCCATTGGGAGATAGCGGTGTGGAAGCCATTTTAAAGGCTGTTGCAACACATGAAAGTCTCAAATTCTTGTCAATGGAGGTAGGTTGAAGAGGTTAGCATAGTGTCACCAATAAACATGTCTGAAAAATGAAAATGTCTGAAAAACATTAGTTTCTTCAAATGGCTGTGTGTGGTTGAATTGTTATGCTCAGCATTTGAACTTTCAGCATTGACAGCTATATTCAAAATGTCATTATTGCCCCTTATTCATCAATGTATTCATCAGTAATATATATTGGGAAAGGGGATCTTGGCCATGAATAAGCATCTTATTCCTAGTTCAGTTCATTGTCACAGAACTTTGGTAACAGAGAAAGTATCAGTTCATTAGCCTGTGACATGTGATTAAAAAGGCACCAGGCATAACATTTTTTGTGACAATCAGTTCTGTCTTAAACTGATGCAGAAAGATGATGTAAGATGAGAAATTTATATAGGGAAGAGGGGACCATGGCTTAGTTTCACTGGTAACATCTCACAAAAAAAGGTGTTGTATGATAAACACTACATGCAGTTAGTTTCCCTTTGGGGGCAGGTTTCTAACAACGGTAAAGTGCTAAAACCAACTTAGAAAACTCTACAAACATACCTGCTGGTTCCAATAGGTTGATGATACATGCACCATCCTCCAAGTACAACCTTCCCATGATCCTATCTAGCTTCTCACCCATCTAAAAAAACATCACCCCTGCATCAAATTCATGGTGGAGACTGAGTGGTTATGCCCCGTAAGTCCGACCTTTGGTTGGGTGTAAAAACAAACCGGTCGGTTTGCAGGGGTATGTCTTTGAGGTCGACTGGTTCAGACAATAGGCAGTCAATGTGTTTACAACGGTACAGTTAATGCTAACATACCTCAACAAGGATCATGCTGTGAAATGTCATTTATATTTAAACATTCATGGGGACTGTAATTTCTATTACCTACATAATGAATAATACACCTTCATAAAATATAATATATACATAAAAAGTTTATAGCACTAAAATAAGCAACTTTAAATAACATACAATACAAAATCTAATATTATTTATATTAAAAAAAGTTTATAGCACTAGAAATGACCATTTCCTTTGAAATTTAAATAAATACAATTCATACATGATGAAAGCCCACTATACAGGCAACACAGATATACATGTACCTTAATGTTCTAATTCGCTTCGCTCAAACGAACATAAAATATTTACCAATTACAACATACTCGTAATACAGGGTGCTGTCTACCACGCCTCGAGAGAGAACAGGTTTATTTCTGAAGGTTACATAGCAAGAGCGCATCGACCCTGATCACAGATGAAGAAATGCAATAAAACGCGAGAGTCCATCAGATATGCTCCATACACTGTCCAATCAGATATGGGGCGGTGGGGTAGCCTAATGGTTAAAGCGTTGGCTCGTCACGCCGAAGACCCGGGTTCGAATCCCCACATGGGCACAATGTGTGAAGCCCATTTCTGGTGTCCCCCGCCGTGATGTAGCTGGAATATTGCTAAAAGCGGCGTAAAACTAAACTCAGTCAGTCAGTCAGTCAGTCCAATCAGATATCCTTCAATAGTTCACACTAACACAAAGCCGCAACCACAAAGCCTGGTCTCCACATAATCATGCATCCTTGAATCTGTGGATGATGAACACCAATCATCTTAAATCCCAAGGGAGAAGAGCGAGGAAGCACCATCATCTCCACACGGTAGAGGTAATAATAATTAGAGTACTTTTATAGCGCCTCATCCACATCACTCAGGGACATGCTCTAAGCGCATAACATATACAGTCAAATCCCGATTAGTCGAATGCCGGTGTTTCGAATATTATGCATAACTCAAAGTACCTGTCAGTCCCGACCATTCCCTGTTATAGTTGTCATCATTTGAATACCAGTTACACGAATTTGTCTCATAAATACACACGATGACTTGAGAAGGAAATTTGGTCCCATGCGATTCAAACAACAGCAATCTTGTATACATAAGCCGAAGTCAGTCAATGAGAAGTTGATTGGTGTAGCAAACTGATCCAATTAACAAACCAGCGCAGCTCACACCTTTCCGCCATTGACGGGTGAGTTCAAAAGGCAGATTAGTGATTTTACAGAAATCACTGTCTGTGCTAATCAGACTGGAACTGATAAGGTGTCCCTATTAGTGGTATGGAAATCATTAGGTAAACAAATGCTTAGGCGGAGGCATTAGGACTGGATCATCTTTTTTACTACCCTCATAGACATACCTATGTCTCGAATACATTGATAAGTCGAATTTATTACTTGGTCCCCAGCGATTCGACTCATCGGGATTTGACTGTATGCAGGTTCTATGTACAGGAAAGTTGACATTCAGAGATATTTCTTGAAGAGGTGAGTTTTGAGCTTGGACTTAAAGACTGGGAGTGATGGAGAGGTTTTAAGATCCGATGGTAGAGAGTTCCAAAGAGTGGCAGCAGCATGAGAAAAAGAATTTGCACCAAAGGTTTTGAGTTTGTACACGGGGACAACTAGCAAGAGTTGATCACTGGAGCAGAGAGATCTTTAAGGTTTGTACAGTGTAATCAAGTCCTGGAGGTATGCTGGGCCAATGTTATTAATAGACTGATAAACAAGGGAGAGCAGTTTAAATTTAATCCTCTCGCGGATCCGGAGCCAGTGAAGATAATTGAGAGCTGGTGTAATTATGAGAACGTAGCTTTGTCCTTGTGATGATGCGAGCAGCCTGATTCTGTATTTTCTGGAGGCGCTGTAGTTGTTCATCAGAGATACCAAATAGTAAACTATTACAGTAGTCCAAGCGTGATAGAACAAGAGTTTGAACGACGGTGGCCATTGCTTCCATAGTTAAGATGTTGCATATGGAACCAATATTTCGGAGATGGAAGTGACATATTTTGCATAAGTGGTTGACATGACTTTTAATAGTTAAATTTGAGTCCAAATAAACACCAAGATTTCTTACAGAGGGAGAGAAAGGGATTGAGGATTGTCCAGTGGAAATGGAAGAAAGCTGACACTTCTGCTGTCTTTGACTTGGTTTAAAGCTGTCGTCCACCAATTGGGAGTCATCAACATAAAAGTGACACCCAATGCAATGATCAGAGATCAGTTGTCCCAGAGGTTTGGTGTACAGTATTGGTCCTAAAACTGAGCCTGTGGCACTCCACATTCAAGAACATGTCTGTCTGACAGTGTCCTGTTAATTTGAACAGACTGTACACGATCTTCTAGATATGATGAAAACCATCTCAGGACTGCTCCATATTCAATCTGTAGCCTTGATAACAATGTTGCTTGGTCAATAGTATCAAAGGCAGCTGAGATATCTAAAAGGACGAGCAGGGCAATGTTACCGTCATCTACGGACATCTTGATGTTGTCCAGAACACCATTGAGAGCTGTTTTGGTGCTATGTGCAGTCCTGTAGGCAGATTGATACTTATCAATCAGATCGAAGTTCTGTAAATGCCCAAGCATCCGACTTCTGACAACTTTTTTCAAGGATTTTAGAAAGATTAGAAACTGGTTGGTAATTGCTGAGGTTTTTGGGTTCCAATGATGGCTTCATTATCAAAGGTTTTATTACTGCCTGTTTAAAGCACTTGGGCACTGTTCCAGATGAGAGACTGAGGTTGACAATCCTGGTGATAACAGGCAGAATGGTGTCTAGTACTTTATGCAGGAACTGAAATTTAGAGGTGTCAGAATGAATCCATTACTGGCCTTGTATACATCCAAGACAACTCAGCCCTGTGCTGAACTGCCTCTGAAACAAGGTGCACAAGAGCCGTCAATACTTCATCAATGACGATATTAGCTTTGAAGTTGACTTAAAACTGAAGTGGAAAAATAATCCCTTTACTAAATATTTGGGAACGTAAACAATTGTTACTTTAAACTTTTGCAAGTAGCTACAGAAAAACAAACCATTTTAAGCCTACACAAGAATTGCCTGCCTAAACATAAAGCATACTAAACTTAGAATATTGACCTTTCCACTCCGTAAGATTCATCGATGTTGAGTCATTGACTGTGTCCCTGTCACCAACCCCAGGATGCATACAGCAATTCTTTCTTTTGACCTCTGCTGATCCTCGATCAAACAACTTCGTATATCACATCACATCCGTAACACACTGCCCAGTGGCCTACATATGTACAACAAGGGCCAGTGGCCTACATTTGTAACACAACCCAGTGGCTTAACACAAGGGCCAATGGCCATTTACACAATGCCCAGTGGCCTAATGCACGGCCCTGAGGCCTTGTCTCTGATGAAAATAAAACCAAGGCAAAAGCTACTCGCCTGAGTAACGGGTAGGCCTTGAGTGACGAAACAAATTCCGTTTCCGGAGCATAACTCAAAAACTGTTCAATATGGGCCCATGAAATACCATAAATTGCTTCTGTTATTTTTACCGCTTTGAATCGGGAGAGACTAAATACAGCGATACATGAAAAGGTGATGCTGGAAGAAAACTAATATCTTCAAAACTGGAGGCCCATTCTCGCCAGTTCTTGTTGGCTCTATATACTTGCTTGTAGCAGCTGGCGCCCTTGATTTCAACACTATATTGGGTAACTTGTCAGCTAAAGTCAGTAGTCTCTCATCCTGAAGAGTTTTTCTCTCACTCCACACTCCAGCGGTAAACAGCTCTGAAAATGTCCAGTGATATAAGCACCATTCTATATCCCTATGGCTAATGCATAACCACCTGTGAAGGTCCGGGCTAGAATGTACCTTCAGTAACCCATGCTTGTCATAAGAGGTGACTAACGGGATCGGGTGGTCCGGCTCGCTGGCTTGGTTGACACTTATAATCAGTTCCCAATTACGCAGATCGATGCTCATCATGTTGATCACTGGATTGTCTGGTCCAAACTCGAATATTTACAGATCGCCGCCATATAGTTGGAATAAAACTAAATTCACTCACTCACTAATGCATAACCTTGAAAATTTTCTGCTGCCTCCGTGAAAGGAAGTACTACCGTTACCGCTTAACTGAATAAATTCATTTACAAAGGGGCTAACTGTACCATTATCAA